TTGAACAAAATTCTCTCAGGCTGCTAAAGTCTGTTGCTTCATTTATTTTAGACTCAGGATTCTTTTCATTGCTGATTCGGAAATAGTGAAAGGCCACCGGTAAACAATACCTCATATAGGAATAGCCTTCAGGAGGCTTCAAAGCCTTCTATGTTTTAAAAAATTTTATCTATAAAATAAGAATATGAGGTAATTGCTTTTATGCAAATTTCAGAGACAACATGAGCAAGCTCCCTGACAGACAGAAGCTGGACATCCTGGTTCCCTGACTGCTCCCGCACATGCCCTCTGTACCCGGCTGGGTTCCACCTGGCCACCCTCCAGTGTGTCTCCCAGAGGAAGGCATGCCAAATTCCTGACACATGGCGTTTGAAAATACCATGGAACGTTTCCACTCGTGGATTTCACCATGTTCTCCAATGAGTATTTCAGCAAGCTAAAAATGTGACTCCTCAGTCATGAGAACACCAAGTCCACATGATTCGGGAAGAGCAATAATGCTGGAACTTTGATCTAATTATCAGCAAGTGCTCTTCCAGGAGATTAAATGTCTTAGAATATTTTATAATTTGCTTAGCAGGTATTTATCCTTTAGTGAAAACCAGTGGTCTTTGTCAGCAAAAGATGCTGACAAGTCATTTACATGGCTAAGCGGTCATTCTTGCTGGCCCGATAAAAGCCCATTTTTAGGAAGATTAAACCTGAGCCTCTTATAAAACATCAGTTATCTCAGATAATGGTAACAATATAGCTATTTATACTCTGGGTTTTTATTTCCAAGCCTTGTGTTTCAACTTCCCATGAGGCAGTTTTAAATGAATTAATCCCTCTGTAAGCTTTTGAATGGAAAAGCCAAAGTAGAGAGAAGCGTATTTGTCTTAGATCATTTTACAAATCCAAACATACTTTTAAAAATCAAATCGTCTTCCTTGTGTTAAGAACAAAACCCAAGTGCCTGATCAGCTACTTCGTTTTCACGAGGCAGAAATACAGTTATGCTGCTGGTGTTGGGGAGGCAGAGAATTTCCTCAACCATGCATGAAGAAAGATAAGCGGGGCCTTTTCCACTGGCTGTCTAATCTTATAAAGATCTCATGGAAGTTTGGTGGACACAGAGCACAGTTCTTTATCCTTGAAGAACATTTTCCAAAGCACAGATGTTTTTCTCTTAATCATGAATGCCGGCTCACTTGTCAGCAGATGGTACGATTTGGGACTGGCTTGTTCCATATAATGGGCTGATGTTCTTTGCTACGTGGAAAACACATCTTTGGCTAGACAGCAATGAATCAATTATTATACAAAAAAATGTTTCCATTTCTGGAATTTCCCTGAGATAAAAATATCTTTCTGGTTTTGGGTATACCTAAGTGACCGTGAGGACACTTAGTAAAAGAAAAAATGGATTTTCAATACTTCGTGGTGATGGTGATTATATGGGATTATAAGTACTTAAAGATTTTCTTGTTGTATCATTTTGGAAACAAAAAGTTGACTCATGTTCTGGTTAATGCTTCAATATTTTCATTACGGAGTTTCTATAAAGTCTTTATCTGAATCACAGAAAATATGATTACTTCAGAGGTAGGATAAAATTTTGTCATAAACAGCACCGTGTACTAAAACCTGCTATGAGCTTAACAAATCACATAGAAGTTTAATGCTCAGGAATGCAATATATCAAGTAAAACACTAAAAAGTTCAGCTAATTTAGATAATGCAAGTGTGAAAATGCAAGAGTGACTAAAAATTTTAAATATTATCATTCCTATTGACATGCTAAATAAGTTTTTGTTGGAGTATTTTAATTTCCTAGCACTTGAATAGCACTTTTTTTCTACGAATATTTCATCATTTGGATAAACATATTCTTTTATTTACCATTTGTCAGGTTTTGTATGCTAAATTGCAACTGCTTATATACTCTCATTTATCTTAAGGATAAATTAAAATTCTTAGTAATAATCCAACTGACTTGTACAAATCACAAAAAGTACTAATTTAAGCCTTTGGGGCTTAAAAATTTTTTTGTGTGTGTATTCACATGGTGAGAGAAAAAGAACTTTCCAAATAATTGTGAATGAGATACTGTTATATAAGAGTTTATAAAGCAATATTTCGGTATGACTGAAGTTCCTAACTCATGCTATACATTTTTTTTTTTTGCCCAGGCTGGAGTGCAATGGTATGATCTCGCTCACTGCAACCTCTGCCTCCCAGGTTCAAGCAATTCTCCTGCCTCATCCTCCTGAGTAGCTGGGATTACAGATGTCTGCCACTACATCCAGCTAATTTTTTGTACTGTTACTAGGAACAAGGTTTCACCACATTGGCCAGGCTGGTCTTGAACTCCTGACCTCCAGAGATTCAACCACCTTGGCCTCCCAAAGTGCTAGGATTATAGGCGTGAGCCATCACATCCGCCCCATGCTTTACTTTTAAACTAAGTTTGAGTTTTACATGAAAAGCTTAATAATCAGAAAAAGGCTATTTTTTAACTTACTTGCTCAAATACTTTGAGCCTCCAAATCTGGAAAACAATGTTGAAGTCTGAAACCACTGTCATGCCTACGCTGGGGAGCACAGTACTGAACTGCTGCTTCCTTGTCTGTCTTGGTGAATGCACATGAAGTGCCTTGTAGTCCTCTGAACCCACCGCCACTAGGGACTGCTGTAGGCGAGGAGCTCCCTGCACCTCAGAAGTCAATGTTCAAAGTCATCGTGAGCATGAAAGTGACGTTCCACAAGGGACAGAAAGATGAGCCACAAGATGCCCCCAAAGTAGGAGTCATGTTGAAAACTTTCAAAAATGTCTTGTACAAAATCTACCCAGATCTTTAGAGAACAGGCCAGACCTATAGTGACATAGGTACTGCCTAAAATGTCACTATATGAGGAAACATTTCAGCAGCATACTGCCCACACTTATCTGAGCCAAGGATGTTTCTAGAATTGCCTTCAGCCATACCATCTTCAAGTGAAAATAAGGTTTTATACCTATTCTGTGTGACCTCAGGAAATTCCTTCTCTTGCCTTAGTTTCCTAATCTATAAAATGGTGAAGATTGGGACAGGAATTAAAGAGTTAATGTGCCTGGCACATAATACAAACACTGTGTGACTTGTCCATTAGTATTATCATCCACTCATAATTTTTGCAGACAAGCCATCAGCACAAAATCAAATCAATTACAACACAACTTCCTTTCAAAATGTGAAGAGATACCATTTTATAAAAAGGTACATAGGACCCCCAAATTAGTCTTAACTTGGGTTAAATTTATCTGCCCTAAACACATGGGGATTCTTCCCAGCTCCCACATTCCTTGCCACCCTAAATGCTCAAGGGGAGTCCTACTGTATTAGAAATAACTTGCTAATCATGACTTTGGGCCTGATCCTTCCAAGGCATGCTTTCCAGGCACAGGACTGGTAAGGAGATGGGTCCCCTCCGGAAAATGCTGAGAAATGGTAGCAAACAGGGTTACCTCCTTCAGTCTACTCCTCACTGCCTTCACTCTGTGGGAGGTGAAGCGTTGCTCCCCCAATCCCATGCACATTTCATTGCTAGGCTGCTGGCACAACCCTATGATCCAGCATGTCCATAGATCCAGATTTCTCCCTTTGTATGTCTTCTCTCTCTGGTTGGTCCTGTCTATAGCTAGACAATGAGCAAGACGCATCCATCGACTGCCCAGGCCCTTCATTTCCCATGCCTCTGCTGAGTAAGAACTGCAGAAATAACATATCCAGTCAGTAGCTCACACCCCATCACACTCTCAGCCTTCACATGTGAAAAAACAGCTGCTCAAAGGCGGCTGCTGAATTCCATTTATAAGCCACTCAGCAAGTTACGAAGCTAGAGGGGTCATTTCTGTAGTCACTGTGTTATTATTGTTAGACATAGTGAACTCCAAGTTTCTCTTCAAAGAATCAGTACGTCAGTATGTTCAGTTCTTTGTCCTCCATGTTAAAGTTTAACTTCCATGTAGTTTCAGTAAACAACCTTTTCCACCAGTTCTATTCATAACTGTTTCCCCAGTCCCCTGCTTTGACCTAGGACACCCCTGGCTACTTGCTCTGACCTGCCTGTAATCATCCTTCCTACCAAACTGCCCACGCTGCCACTCAGGCTCATACCCCTGCTCTCTCTAAAATAGCCAATCAGGATTAGTCTAGACTATGCAGTCTCACCCTAGCCAGTAGGGGAACAACACAGCAGCAGGGGCAACCTCTGTCAGGAATAAGTACCCCTTTCCCTTCCTTGTCCAAGTGTGCACTCACCATTGTTCCATCTGTGAGCTGCACCCTTCAATAGAAGTAAATTGCCTTGCTAAGGAAATTTATATTCAAGTTCTACTTCTCTTGTGGCACTGGAAATTTTACATATAACACTGCTACAGCATATACCGCCCAGCTACTGGCTCTAGGAAGTGAGAATGGTACTTTCAGTTCAAATCTTGGTGTCAGGATTTAATACCAAACAGGGAGACACTCTAAACCTTTGCTGCTTGTCTCAGCCAAGCAAATGAGGGTGTTAGAGAAATTGACCACCCCCTCTAGGCTGACATGGGTTAGAGCAGATCTCAACTTCTGGAATTTTCAGTTGTAGAACCTTTCCTGGTAAACTATTATTTTAATGTCAATATTCTGGGAGGCAGGCAAATTTAAGGCAAGAGAGTACACTAAATCATAGACACAGTGACTGGCTGAGCACAGTGCATCACACTTGTAACGCCAACACTTTGGGAGGCCGAGGTGGGCAGATCATTGGAGGTCAGGAGCCTGGCCAACATGGTGAAACCCCATCTTGAATAAAAATATAAAAATTAGCTGGGTGTTGTGGTGCATGCCTACAATCCCAGCTACTTGGGAGGCAGGGGCAGGAGAATCGCTTGAACCTGGGAGGCGGAGGTAGCAGTGAGCCAAAATCATGCCACTGCCCTCTAGCCTAGGCAACAGAGCGAGACACTGTGTCAAAAAAAAAAATCATAGACACAGTGACAATGCAAATATTTATTGCTGGTGGCTGGGTCTGTCATTTCCTAGAGGACATAGCTGGCCAGCAGATTTTCATTTCTTTTTTACAAAATAAGCAAATGCCTACTTTATTATTTATACACAGAAAATTATATAGAAACATACAAACTGCTTGAAATGCAAATATTTTTTGGTTTACTCATCAAAGTAAAAAATAACAGAAAACCTTATCAGTTAAATAAAAAAGTGACATTCTTTATTTATCAAACCTTCTTAAACACTGAAATGCACTCATTTTTATGCTCATGTTCTTTAGCGATGTCTTTTCTCCCCTTTGCCCCTCATTCCCCTACATTGTTTTAATGAGTTCATCTGTAAGACGGTTGTTTTACCTTTCTTAATGCTACTTACTTTTTATTATCCCAATATCAAGACCAATCTAGATTTTTTGTCTCTTCCATGTGAAATGGATGTAAAAAATGGAGAATTCACTAGCACATTTTAAGATAACATAAAAGAAGCCCTAGGCAAGCATTTCAAGGCAATGACACACCATCACATTTTTGAAAAGCTGAAGTATCATTGGTACTTAAAAGTAGAACTCAATTCCAGAAGCGCATTCTTACACTGGACATTATTCATAATAGCGAATAGAGTTCATTTCCACAGTACTGATTTCAGATAAGCCATTTTCTTTTTAACAAAACAAGCAGCCGTAGACATGAAAATTGGATTGTTTTAAAAGGAGCAATGATAGCAAGAGAAAGTTCCTGGCGTTTTAAGAAAAGTACATATGCATAGCAAGAAATGAAAGTAAATCAAAATACATAACTTTGTACATGTTAGAAATATCCAATGTGCCATCAACACAACAAATGCCCTATAAAAGAGTGTTCGGGTCTGGAGCCATATCTATTTTTCTTTGTATAACTACATATGCATTACCCAACCACACATCTCTCCCATGGTCTGTTACCCGTTAGGAAGCTTGTAACCAGAGTTTTTCGAAATATGCTTTTCTTCAAATAAAACAAGCCTTCAAATAAATCATTATGTCTGACAACTGAATTGGGCAAAGTCTTTCTGAAATACATGTAATGTTTAGAAAATTCTTTTTTCCTTCATAAATCAGCAGTGCTCCATCTTCAAATAAATCATGATCAGTCACAATCTTAACTCACGTGCTCATATGTTCTCTTCATCCAACATTTTGTTGATACCATCACATAGTTTTTGTAAGTGGGGTTTAAAATTCCCAAAAGGATTATACAAGGCAGCCAAAAATTCACAATCTGAAAAATGATCAAAGACATTATTAACCCGTCCATGTGACTTGGCGGTGAGGTGACGCTGAATGATTTGGTGTAGCATCTCTCTGCATTCATTTAACAGCTTGGATAACACATTCCGGTCAAAGGTATAATCCACCTGATGGAAACTGACCACGGTCATAGCAAGTTGATGAACTTTCTTCTTAAACTTCTCCATCAATGCTAGCTCATCTTGATTAAATTGATTATTCCGGTAAAGAATGGCCAGCTTGATGACTGTCTTGATGAGGTTCTTGATGATCTTCTCTGCCTCCTTCTTGTTTTGGGTGTACTCCCTGGTCACTCTGTAGAGCTCATCCAGCACCTCACTGCTCGTGTCGTCTATTAACGTGGTGGCAATGGATTTGGACACCATTTTACCCAAGATCTTCTTCTGTGCCTGAACGGCCAGGTTTTTGGAATTAAAGACATCTGTGGCCACTAAAAAAAAGGTGGGGAGGAAAAGAAAATCAGTAAACATCAGCAGGAGAAGTGAACTAAAAACAGATATTAGGGAGCACTGTTTTTCTTTGTTTTCCCACCATTTGTGGTTTGTCTTCCATCTACTGACATTAGTCTCTGTTCAGAAAAGAATTTTAGGCTGGGCACAGTGGCTCACGCCAGTAATCGCAACATTTTGGGAGGCTGAGGGGGGCGGATAACTTGAGGTCAGAAGTTTGAGACCAGCCTGGCCAACATGGGTGCAGTGGTACATGGCTATAATCCCAGCTACTTGGGAGGCTGAGGCAGAAGAATTGCTTGAACCCAGGAGGTGGAGGTTGCAGTGAGCTGAGATTGCTCCACTGCACTTTAGCTTGGGTGACACAGTGAGACTACTGTCTCAAAACAAACAAACAAACAAACAAAAAACACAAAATCAGCTCTACACCTGTCATCTGGCAACAGCAACCAGGAGTGACTTAAAAGAAATTCATTTAAATGGAAGAATAAATGGTAAAGCCATAATATTGAATAAAATGGCAGACTCATGGAAGCAAATCAAAAGGAGAGCCTTGTTTTATAATGCAGTCGCAAAAAGTCAAATTTCTCAAGCATTGGCCAGTGCCCACCAATTTGCCTGTCCTAACCACCTTGAATTTCAACCTACAGAAGTTGACTGTTAGAAAGAACTACTCCTTGGAGAGCTCACTGTCACTTGCTATTTCTGATGAATGGTCGTTGTTCACTTTACATTTTTATACGTTTTGGAGAAATAACCTTTTTCATCAGCTAATGAAATGTGCCACATGAGAAATATACCTTGAAAATGATGTTGCTTAGAGTTTACTTTTGGAATTATCGTAACTTCTGACATCTTTAAAATATACATAATAATGGTTGTACGTATCATATAAAAGAGACACTATATATAATCTTCCTAGCCTAGAGCTGGTTAGTGAAAATGCTCAATAAATGTTTATTCTCCAAACCAAGTTTACGTTTTATCTACCACAATTTCCCCCACTCCATGCATGTGGTAATCTTTTTTGCTTTCTTTTTTTTTTGAGACAGAGTTTTGCTCTTGTTCCCCCAGGCTGGAGTCCAATGGCACAATCTTGGCTCACTGCAACCTCCGCCTCCTGGGTTCAAGTGATTCTCTTGACTCAGCCTCCCGAGTATCTGGGATTACAGGTGTATATCACCATGCCCTGCTAATTTTGTATTTTTAGTAGAGATGAGGTTTCACCATGTTGGCCAGGCTGGTCTCGAACTCCTGACCTCGGGTGATCTGCCCACCTCAGCCTCCCAAAGTGCTGGGATTACAGGTATGAGCCACTGTGTCTGGCCCATGTAGCAATCTTTAAGCTACTCCTCTACAACTATGCTTTCTCCTGCTTCTCCAGAGGCTTAAGAACTGCAGTTCTTTGGGTGTCTACTCCATCTCTGAGTCGAGGGACAACTGTTTTTAAGCCTAGGCCTGGGTGTTAGAAAGCAGTCATTTTGTAATGAAAGATAAAAAGCTTAAAAATACAGATATATACAAATGAGTCAAGGCATCAATGATAATATAAGATTATTTCTAGTTTGGATAGGCTAGTATCATTAGGAAGCAAAAAGGCAGCTGCTTCAAAATCCAGGCTGGGAGGACATATAAGAAGAGTGACTCCCTTAATGCGGAACTGCCATGTTGGATTTAACACTGGGGAAAGGCTGGTGTGGTGGCTCACACCTACAATGCCAGCACTTTGGCAGGCCAAGGTAGGGAGAGGATCGCTTATGCCCAGGAGTTTGAGACCAGCCTGGGAAACACAGCAAAACCCCAGTGCAACAAAAAACTACAAAAAAAAAAATTAGCCAAGTGTGGTGGCATGCACCTGTAGTCCCAGTTACTAGGGAGGTGTAGGTGGGAGAATCATCAGAGCCTGGAAAGTTCAGGCTACAGCGACCCATGACTACACCACTGCACTCTAGCCTGGGCAACAGGGTGAGACCCTGTCTCAGAAAAAAATTAAATTAAATAAAATTGAGTAAAAGAAGAACCAAATTAAATTTGAAAAATTTGGACCAAAGCAGTTCATGGTATATACAGGTAGCTCAAAATGGTTCCTTATGACCCGAGTGTCATTTATAAATATAGAGTGCCATACATCCTCTAAAAGAATGTCTCCATCAAATGAGAAAGGGTGTCTTCACAAATGTCGATATTTAAACTTCTGAAACATGAACTGAAACTGCAGAATAACGAAAATATTTTTTGAAAAAGAGAAGGAAAGTGAAAATGTGTGAGAAATGGCCAACTTCATGTAGAAGTTTCCAAGCTGTTTTATGTTTTTATCATTTAAGCAGAAGTCCATTTCTATTCCTGTTCTTCAATGACTTGCAAAAGAGTTTAAAGATTAAGTCACACTAAAGAATTTATGTCAAAAGAAATGGCACACATGTAGCTAACTGTATCATATTAAAACCAGGGACCATCTTTCATCTCAGAACTCCTGATACAGACCCCCACCCGAAAAAAAATCAACAAACTTGATTTATATAGGGATACCCAACCAGTTTCAGCTGCACAGCAAATAACTAGGATTTCAGTAATACACTCCACATAAAGTTGAAATGTTACTGTGTTTTTAATGCTTAAGAACATGGCATAGTCTACAAATATCTTACCTGGGATTTACTACAAGTCTATCAGTTGGACATACTTTATGTTGTCAAATACTGAAACCAGAGGGAGAAGTATTCATATTTCTCCTTTATCCAAGGCTGGACTTTCAAGTTTGCACCTCTTCTCAGCTAAGTTTCTGATTAAATCTCAATGTCCCATTTAACTTCAAATATGGAAAACAAAAACTCTATGATACAGCACTTCAAATTCCTGCAAAAGAGTGTGTAAAAGGCATATCTACTGCCAACTAAGCAAGATCATTCCCCATTTACTGGTAATCAAGTATGAATCAAGATAGAGAAGTTAATCTCTGAGGCTTTCACATTTGTCTTAGAGGAACTTCAAATCCTGCTCCAGAAACACAGCAGCTGTGTCACACTTTCCTTTTATCCTTTGTATTATTCCAGTGAAGTCATCTTTTTAAGTGAGGTAGAAGCTCTTTGTCCCCCTCCACCATCTGAAGTTCTTCTCCTCCTCCACCAAGAAGAGCATGCATGAGTAGATTTCTTTTCCAGCATTAGAGAAAGCTTTTCTGGAGCCAACTGGGGCTTGCTGGCCAGGGATGTGTGGTCTGTGCTCATGAAGTATGTTTCTTTTTCTTGCAAATTAACTGCTGTTAGCCATTCCTGTTCAGGCTCATTTGTCACTTCCACATACTCTACCAGATCCCTTAAAGGTCTGTTGTATCTTAGAGCTAGTCCTGGACCAAGTTTTTCTCCTTCAGTCTATCCTCACCCCTGTGTGATCTCATTCACTCCCACAGCTTCAGACATCATCCATGAGCCAATGACTTCCATAGTTATAACTCAGCCCTGACCTCTTTTCCGGACTCATTTTGTAAATGCATTCAAGATTTTTCTTTTCCTTGGCTATTGTGCAGGCATCGCAAATGTATCAAAACTGATCTCTGATTCTCTCCCGCTTTCCCACTAAGTGTTCCTCTGTCACTCTTTATGATCTCAATTAATAGCATCCCTTTCAACCTTTTGCTCAATCAAATCAGTGACCTGGGGATCTTCCACCATACCATTCTCTCTCTTACCCAGTCCATTATTAAGTTCTTTCCATTCCACCTTCCTCCCTCATTTCTCGGAGTTCTATCCATTTCCCTCCATCTCCATGGACAGCTGCTTAGTCCAAACCCCTTTCCATCTCTTTTCACGTACTAGCCAGAGTTTTAAGAAATGAAATTTGCAAATGGGGCCAGGTGTGGTGGCTCACACCTGTAATTACAGCACTTTAGGAGGATAAGGTGGGAGGACCACTTGAGTCCAAGAGTTCGAGACCAGCCTGGGCAACATGGCAAGATCCTGCATCTACACAAAACTTAAAAAATAATTAGCTGGGCATGTAAGTCCTATCTACTCAGGAGGCTGAGGTGGAAGGACTGCTTGAGCCCAGGAGTTCAAGGCTGCAGAGCTGCAGTGAGCTATAATGACGCCACTATACTCCAGCCTGGGTGAAAGAGCAAGGCCTTGTCTCTAAAAAGAAAAGAAAAAAAAAAAAAAAAAAGATGCTCCATTTAAGTTCTTTGCTAACTATCACACTTCCTTGTTCCTTAAATCCTCATCATTTGCCTACATTTTTATTGTCTGCCTCTCCCTACTAGGATTTAAACTCTGAGAGCAAAGATTCTGTAGTATCATGTTCACTGTGTTATCTTGCAGGTCTGGAGAGTGCCTGGTACAGAAGCAGAAATCAGTTTCCCCTATCTCATCCACATATACTTACATACTTCTCTATGAAAACATGTTGGCCTATAAAATGAGAGTTGTAAATACATTAGTGGGTGTTTTTGTTTGTTTGTATTAAAAGGTAGAGAAACAGTATTTGTTTCACCTCACTAAAACATGTGGTTTTCTTCCCTCTAAGTGCACTCCAGAGTATAATTTCTCTTACTGTCATCAACCAGTTCTTTTAAAAAGGAGAGATTCGTTGTGCACAATGAGGAAACATCCAAGGACAATAACGCAAATATTTAGAGTAAAAGCAAGGTGTAGTTCTGACTTGAACTGTGGTAGGAGATTAAACACGGGCCCACCTCTACTTCTGGCTGGAGCTATGTTTAAACATGTGCCAGAGGCCAGGCGCGGTGGCTCACGCCTGTAATCCCAGCACTTTGGGAGGCCGAGGTGGGCGGATAACGAGGTCAAGAGATCGAGACCATCCTGGCCAACATCGTGAAACCCCGTCTCTTATAAAAATACAAAAAAATTAGCCAGACTGGAGTGTAGTGGCGTGATCTCGGCTCACTGCAACGTCTGCCTCCCAGGTTCAAGCAACCCTCCTGCCTCAGCCCCCCTCTAGTAGCTGGGATTACAGGCACACGCCACCG